CATATTTCCTTACACATATGATTAAGGTTAGCATTGACATCATAATCATGTTTCTAAAGTATGTCCTTGATGTATAATAAGTATAAATAAATCCTACAATGATGCATAATAAAATGTTTTTGTTATTGTTCTTTATTCCAACCCTCAAACATAAATTAATAGTGAAAAGAACAGCCAGATCCAAGTTAGGGATGTTTTATAAGATATTTAAAAATAATCTCAGACCCGCCAAAAATAAGGAAAGGCCCTGGGCTGTGGCCAGTGGTTGAGCACTTGCCAAAGCTCTTGGTTCATATTTAGAACCATAAAAGAAAAACCAAATAAAATACAAGAGAAATGGGTGTGGAGTCTGAAGATTCATGGAGACAGGATCTTGCCCTTTTACTCTGAAGATCTGGTAGAGAATATGGCGGAACAGAACAATGGATAGCAGGTAACAGCGGGATCCTTCTCAGCTGTTCGGGACAGAGGATGACTTGCCACTCTTGAGTTAGATACAATGACTATTTCATCACCATCCAATCAGGCCACGGAAATGAGGATGTATCTCTGAGGAGAGGGAAGACTCTAGGCCTTGACCCAGCTATCGCCACTGGAGCTGGCCTAAGCCAGTGACCTCAGCCTGAGCATGTCCAAGGCAACTAATTACACAGGAGCAGGCACAAGAGAGCCACCGCTAAGGGAGCAGACCAGAGCCAGAGCCCTCGGCAGAACCGAGCATGAATCAGCAACCTCTGAGGTAGCAGGCCTGAGCCAGCCACCTCCACCTGAGCAGGCTTGAGCCACTGACCTTTGCCAGAGGAGGCCCAAGACAGTGACTTCAGGAGCAGCCATAAGCAAGAAACATCTGTGGGGCATTTAGGTTGTTTTCAGGTTCTGGATATGACAAACAGTGCTGCTATGAACATAGTTGAGAACATGTCCTTGTGGCACTATTGGGCATTCTTTGCATATATACCTAAAAGTGGTATTGCTGGGTCTTGAGGTAGGTTGTTTCCTAATTTTCTGAGAAATCACTATACTGATATCCAAAGTGGCTGTACAAGTTTACACTCCCATCAGCAATGGAGGAGTGTTCCCTTTATCCCACATAAGTTTTCAGTACTGGAACTCTGTAGTAGAGTTTGAAGTCTGGGATTGTGATGCCTCCAGAAGTTCTTTTATTATACAAGATTGTTTTGCTTATCCATATGAAGTTGAGTATTATTTTTATAAGGTCTGTGAAGAATTTTGCTGGGATTTTGATGGGCATTGCATTGAATATATAGATTGCTTTTGGTAAGGTTGCCATTTTTACTATGTTAATTCTATCTACCCAAGAACATGGGAGATCTTTCCACTTTGTGGTATCTTCTTTAATTTCTTTTTTTCCTTAAAGATTTAAAGTTCTTGTCATACAAGTCTTCCACTTGTTTGGTTAGAATTATTCCAAGATATTTCATGCTATTTGTGGCTATTGTGAAGGATGATGTTTCTCTGATTTCTTTATCAGCCCATTTATCATCTGTGTAAAGGAGGGCTACTGATTTTTTTTTTAGTTAATCTTGTATTCTGCTACATTAATGAAAATGTTTATGAGTTGTAGAAGTTCCTTGGTAGAATTTTTGGGGTCGCTTATGTAAACTATCATATCATCAGCAAATAGTGAGAGTTTGACTTCTTTTCTGATTTGTAGCCTCTTGATCTCCTTTTGTTGTCATATTGCTTTAGCTAGGACCTCAAGAACTATATTGAATAGATATGGAGAGAGTGAACAACCTTGTCTTGTTCCTGATTTCAGTGGCATCACTGTGAGTTTCTCTCCATTTAGTTTGATGTTGGCTATTGACTTGCTGTGTATTTCGTTTGTTATGTTTAGGTATGTTTATTGTATTTCTGCTCTCTTCAAGTCCTTTATCATCAAGGGGTGTTGTATTTTGTCAGAGGCTTTTTCAGAATCTAATGAGATGATCATGTGGTTTTTATTTTTTCAGTTTGGTTATATGGTGAATTACGTTGACAGATTTTCACGTGTTAAACCATCCCCGTATCTCTGGGATGAAGCCTACTTGATCATCATTGTGGATGATTTTTCTGATGTGTTCTTGGATTTGATTTGCCAGTATTTTATTGAGTATTTTTGCATCAAGTTTCATGAGTAAGATTGGTCTGTAATTCTCTTTCTTAGTAATATCTTTCTGTGATTTGGGTATCAGGGTAATTGTAGCCTCATAAAAAGAGTTTGGCAATGTTCCTTCTGTTTCTATTGTGTGGAACAATTTGAGGAGTATTGGTATTAGTTTTTCTTTGAAAATCTTGTAGAATTCTGAGCTGAAGCTATCTGGCCCTGGGCTTTTTTTTGGTTGGTAGACTTTTGATGACTGTTTCCATTTCTTTAGCAGTTATAGGTCTATTTAATTTGCTTATCTGGTCTTGATTTAATATTGGTAAGTGATATTTATCCAGAAAGTTGTTTATTTCCTTTGTTTTCCAATTTTGTGGAGTACAGTTTTTCGAGATATGGCCTAATTAGTCTCTCGATTTCCTCTGTGTCTGTTGTTATGTCCACCTTTTCATTTCTGATTTTGTTAATTTGGATATTCTCTCTCTGCCTTTTGGTTAGTTTGAATAAAGATTTGTCTACTTTCTTGATTTTCTTGAAGAACCAACTCTTTGTCTCGTTGATTCTTTGTATTGTTTTCTTTGTTTTATTTTGTTGATATCAGCCCTCAATTTGATTATTTCCTGCCATCTAGTTCTCTTGTGTGAGTTTGCCTCTTTTTGTTCTAGAGTTTTCAAATGTTCTGTTAAACTCACTGGTGTAGGATTTTTCCAGCTTCTTTTGTAGACATTTAGTGTTATGAACTTTCCTCTTAACACTGCTTTCATTGTGTCCCATAATTGGGTATGTTGTGTGGTCATTTTCATTGAATTTTAGAATTCTTTAATTTCTTCCTGTATTTCTTACTTGACCCATTGATGATTCAGGTGAGCATTGTTTAATGTCCATGTGTTTGTGGGCTTTCTGGAATTAGTGTTGCTGTTGAATTCTAATTTAAGCCATGGTGGTCCAATAAGGTATATGGGCTTAATCCATTTTTTTTGTATCTGTTGAAGTTTGCTTTGTTACCTAGTAAGTGGTTAAATTTTGAGAAGGTTCCATGAGTTGCTGATAAGAAGGCATATTCTTTTATGTTTGGATGGAATGTTCCATAGATGTCTGTTAAATCCATTTGAGTAATAACATCTGTTACTTCCCATATTTCTCTGTTAATTTTCTGTCTTACAGACCTGTCCAGTGGTGAGAGTGGAGTGTTGAAGTCTCCCACTATTAGCAGGTGGGATTTAATGTGTGATTTAGGCTTTAGCGGTATTTCTTTTACTTATTAGAGTGCCCTTGTATTTGGGGCATAGATGTTCAGTATTGAGATTTTCTCTTGATGGGATTTTCCTGTGACTAATATGAATTGTCTTCCTTTGTCTCTTTGGACTGATTTTAGTTTGAGTCTGTTTTGTTAGATAATAGTATAGCTATTCCAACTTGTTTCTTTGGTTCATTTGATCAGAAATTTTTTTTTCCCTGCCTTTTACTCTGAGTTGATGTCTGTCTTTGAGTTGGAGGTGGATGCTCCTGTTTTTGTATTCAATCTGTTATCCTATGTCTTTTGATAGGTGAGTTGAGTCCATTTATATTAAAGTACATTAATGACCAGTAATTGCTAGCTCCTGTTATTTTAGTTTTCATTGTTGGTGATGTTATTGTGTGTGTTTTTCCCTTCTTTGGAATTTGCTACTATGAGATCATCTATTGTCTGTGTTTTTGTGGATGTAGCAGGAAGGAAGATTTTTTTATAGCATCTAGTAGACCAGACTGCTAGAAATTGAAAAAGCCTTCAATTTCCATTGACTATATTCCCTTTGTTGATAATTTAAGTGTTCCATTTCAATTGATTTTTTAAAAATTTATTCTTTTTTTTATTTTGAGATTAATATATTTCTACCTTCTTTTCCCTCCTGCCCCCCCCCCCCCCAGGTCACTTTCACTCTCTTTCAAATCAATGGCTTCGTTTTCACTAATTTGTTATTACATGCACATATGTATAGCTCTATGCTTACATATTTCTGAATATAGTTTCTTCAGTCCATATAATGTTACTTTTATCTATTTTCTTATATGAACATGTCAGCTGATTGCTCTTAAGTTGATATCATTTGTAAACCTGATTTCTCTTCTGTAGAATAAGCATATTGTCCTGAATATGAGGTCTTGATCATAGATGAAGCAACTCTTGTTGTGTGTGTGTGTGTGTCTGTATACACAGTCTATGCAGATCTAAGTAAGTGAAGAGAGTATAGTGATTTTAGAATATTGGTCCCTAAATTTAGGGAAAAGATCTAAATGGAGCATGAAAAAGATGACAAATTAAGGGGAAAGCAAGATAAGTATTAATACTCAATAGTATTTTTCAATATTTCCCAGAATATACCACTTTAATCTTTAGTAGGTTAAAGATGAGTAGAAGCTGAGCCTTGAGATAAAGAAAGCTGTAGTTAGCTCTGCTTTTTCTTAATTTTTTTAAACAAATTTAAATTCTTGGTTAAGTGTACAGTGTAAATTTTCCTTAATCTAATTATTGTACTGCGATTATTTAGGAAAGTGTTTTTATTCTTAGGAAACACACACTGAAGTATTCAAGAATAAAGGGGGTATATACTAATGAGATTTTAATAATACATAAATATATCTTGTTTGCATATTCATGTGCATATTTATTTTTAAATCCTCATATGAGCCAGGATTCTTAGTATTATCATTTACTTTGTTGCTCAAATGGACTCAGATATGGTTAAATGGCTACACTCTTATATAATGTTTCTATACTGTCTTAATTTTAAATGAAAGACAACTGAGAACTTGTGATGGATATGAATTTTCATTGATTCAAATGAATGGTTTTAATCATCCAGAAGATTGAAATATCCTCTCTGACATGTGAACATATTTCATTTTTTTTTTTAAGAATCGAGGTCAATTTTGGGACATGGCCACTGCTTCACCAAGGTCTGATACTAGTGATAACCACAGTGGAAGGTTACAGTTAAAGGTAACTGGTAAGTGATTTTAGTAATAATGAAGTATTGTGATGGGTGGATGAGATTGGATTTTGCATACCTAATGAGGCAAATATTCCATAAGTGATGCTCTTGAGACATACACAGTGAAGTTGGACTGATATTAGGTGGCACTGGGTTTTAATGTCTTGCCTTCATGTTGCCTTGCCTTGACTTTATCATTTTGTTCATTTATATTAAAGTAAACATCACTTTGTAAAATTTATGATCTTGTTTTCACAATAGCTTGAGTAATAGAAACTACCACTTATGAATAAAGGAGGAGACCAAGGTCCAGAGGAACCACTGCCTTCTCTTAGTAATGAGGATGCCAGTTGCGGTCTTAAGACTTTTATCCCAAACCATGTTCTTTGTATAGGTCTTTTTTTTCTTTTTTTTTTTTTCCCCCTTCTGGTCTTGGAGGCTGAAGCCAGAGCCTTGTTCAAGCTAGGTAAGTAAGTATTCTACCACTGAACTACATCCTCATTCCAGCTTACTCCATTAGTCCTTTTATTTCAAGCAGTCAGGTACTATCCTTCAAAGCCCCTCTGTTATTGAAGTCTGGTCATTGTCTATCTGTGAACTGGGAGAATCCATATCTCCTTTAGTCTGGCATTCAGAGTCAACAGCCTGTGAATGGTCAGACTACCAGCTTGGAATGGACTTCACGTCAGCAGCAGAGCTACTGTTGGAAGCTTAGGTGGGTGGGGTCTTGCCCTGAGGTCACCCTTCCCTTTATCTGGTGCTAAGTAGGAGTCTTCTTCGTAATGATGTAAACACACACCTTGGCTGCTCATTAGATCTCATGATACTTCTTTCTTCTCCAAACTGTACATTTTGCATTTATTTCTGCCCAGTTTGATCTTTTTTCATTGTTGATGCGAATAAACATTTTTAATAATAATCACATCACAAATTCATTATTATGTTGCTTTGAAATTGCCTCCACTAAAGAGATTAGACAATTACTTTTTAATTTTGGCCTCAGGCAAATTCTTAGGGCAAGGGCAAGAAGCAGCTAGATTCTTTGTCAAAATTTCACACAAATGGCATAAGTCCAGTTGCTAATGTTGTTCCCCTCTGAAACATCTCTTGAGCTGGGCTTCCATGACATGCATTGCTCTCAGCACCACTCTCTTCTAAGCTTTTGCTAGGATGGCTTATAACTCTGCTTACAGTCTCCAACTGCTTTTCTAATCCAAGTTTCAAGATTTTCCCCATTCCTCCGAAAACCACTTGGTCAGATTCTTCACAGTAACAGTTGACTCCCTGGTACCAACTTCTCTATCACTTTTCTATTGCTGTGATAAAACACCGTGGCCAAGGCAACTTATAGAAGAAACAGTTTATTTGGTTTTATGGTTAATGAGAGGCAAGAATCCATTGTAATGAAACCATGGCAGCAAGTGGCAGTCATGGCATCAGGAGCTATATCTTCAAAAAAAAAAAAAAAAGTACAAAGCAGAGAAAACTATTACCCTGAAACTGTGTAGCCAAGACTAGTGTTGACTTTGTGTTCCTCCTGCCCCAGTTTCACAAGTACTGGGACTATAGACATGTACTAATAACCATGTCCATCATATTTCCCTTCCTTTTCCTTTCCTGTTTTGAGACAGAATCTCTCTGTAGAACCCAGGGTGGCTTCATGATCCTCCTTTAGCACCTTAAGCATTGGTATTTCATGTGTGTACTATGCCCGTGTTTCTTTGTTTCTGCTCTTAATCTATAGCTTATTGAAGGGAACAAACATACAAGAACAGTGTGCTGTAGGTGTAGCTCCATGATATAGCACTTTCCTGGTGTGTCTGAGACTTTGAGTTTCATCTCAGCCTCTAAAAACCAACTACTCTATCAACTAATAAAAATATCTTAAAAACAGGAAAACCATGATCTAAATCAAGCAGAAGATAACTCACTGTAATGTGATAATTTACTATGCCACGAGCATAAATATAATAGCATGCAGAGATAAGTAATTTTCAGTATTGTAGTGTTTAAGATTTCCAACATGAATGGATCAGATGCAAAGTGTTTAAAGTATATAGAGTACTTGCCTTAAAAACTAACAGATTGCTATGGTAGGGTTTGTATATTTAGTTTTTGGTATTGTGTCTTGTACCTCAATTATACTTAAAAATATATTGATTTTTACATTTATTTATGTATGTGCATATACATGAGCCATACATGTACATGTACAGGTCAGAGAACAGCTTGTGGGAATTTCTCTCTAGTATTTGGGTTTCAGGGATTGAGGTTATTAGGCTTGGTGGCCAGTGCTTTGACTCACAGAGCCACTCCACTAGCCCTTAATTTCATTCTGTTGTGAGCAATTTTAGTGTTCGTGATATGCGCTGTAGGCGTTTTCTCAGGCTTTTAATTATTTATGGCCTAACCATTTTTCTCTTGTTGATTTCAACTTTACCACCTTACTTGTTCTATTACTATTTCTTATATCACTATTAGACTGTCTACTTATTTTCTTTTATAGTGCATACATTTGGAGAAGTCTTGATTAGCTCAATTTTATGTATATTTGTCTCTGTACTTGTCTATTTCCTTTTGTTCCTTATTTGAATTTAAGCTCCCCATTTTTCTTGTGTCTACCCCAAACAATCAAACCCAGTAAAATTTTGTGTTATTGTTATAAAATGATTTATTAAATTGAAGGTGATTTAAAGCTTTCATCTTAAAAATCTCAGATCTAAGAATATATCAAATAATTTTCTTCCTCTTTGGTGTCCATTGTTTAAGTTTTGTGCTAATTTTTATGTGGATCATATACATTTGTTACTAAATGTTTTTAGGGACGTTACTGTTACTGGACCTTTTAAATTAAGGAACCCTATCCAATGTCTGTTAATTTTCAATATTTACATAGTGTTACCGTGAAGGGCATTTTGAGTATATAACATGAAGGTAAACAAGTAAATGGGAAAATATAATTTACTCCATTCCCACTAATTAGAATTCCTGTTTAAAACAGTAGCATTCAGTTTATTTAAAAACATACCATTAATTATATGCACTATTGAGCCACCATGTTACAAATTTTTATGAGATTAAAAAAGATATTTTAAAATATTTGTTGAGGAGAGAGGGGAGATCTATTATGCTAACAGCTTTCAGTACTATCAAGCACTTTGCCAAATAAAGATAAACAGTGGGCATATCTTGAGTAATAGTATAGGTGCAGTCACCATACCGGATGCGGGGAAATTTGTTGTTGATGATAGTGCTTTTGCATGCCTTCACTCACCAATCCTAAGAATTGGGTATTATTGTTCCCCTGTTTTTCAGGTGAGAAAATGGAGGGGCAGAGCCGTTAATTGACCTCCTTCAGGTCAGGATTCTAGTAATGGCAAAGTTAAAATATGAATCCAGATATGTTACACTTGTATGCTTTTAACATGATCCTGTATTGCCTTCGCTTTACTGACTGTGTGGATAGATAGGGCCTGTATGTGTCAAAGAAATAACTTTTATTTGGAATGAAACCTTCTATTTTGAGGGGGTTCTTGAGAGGTAACAAGTCTGGCCCCTATATCAGTCCTTTGGTGGTAAACTTAGAACAACTGGCGACGTCAGAGAATGGGAATGAGTTTTACTAAGACCCTCCCAGTAGCACTTCAGACATTATTTTAAACATTGCACTCTGTTGCTAGTATTTTAATAAGCATTTGCTTGTAATCTTTTTTGTTATTCTTTCCATGTTAATAGAGGAGTAACTATTTCAAACACTTTACCTCTCACACCACTTTCACTTTGTATTTCATTGGTTTGCTTGATTAATTTCTTTCAGTAGAATGGAAACTTTTGTTGTTTTATTTCTTAACGATTCATGTGTGTGACAGGGGTGCTTTTCTTTTGTCATCTCAGACCAGGGTAGAGGTGATCATAATCACTGGTTGATTGCACAGTTCTGTGTTCGGAATAACATTTGCAATCATTAAAGGCATATGTTTAAGCTAAAATGGTTTCTTACTATGTTGGGTAAAATAAATTTAAAATTCCTTTTCTGTAAAAGGTTATGATTAATTTTTATTTCATGATGACATTTTGATTTTCAAATTTTTTAAATAAGTTTTTCTTTGAAATTTTTTTTCTAGATAAAAATGTTCAATAGTTTATGATAAACAGGTCACAGTTATATAGTGAATACCATCTAGATGAAGGCATTTACTTTTCTCACAGTCCTTGGTACAGTTTGAAATTATATTTACATAGCAGGTAAAGATAGAAACCATCAAGTATGTAGTACACACTGATGGCCCTCTGAACATGGGAGACAGAGAATAGAGGCTTGCAAATTCAAGTCTAGCTTGGGTTACATTTGGGAGAACTTTATCCCAAATATATATTAATATATAAATCAATAGGTAAACAGATATTAATCACATCCTACTATAGTTTGATAGGAGTGTAAATAGTCTGGCATTTATTCAAGAGACTTACTGTGCTATACAGCAGTTCTGATATGTCCAAAGTAAAGGAAAACACGTCCACAGTAAAACTTGCATGTGAATGTTTATAGACATCTTTGGTTCAACAGCTACAAAGTAATTTAAATGTCTGTCAACTAATAGATAAATAAAATGTGGCATATCAATAATGGAGAAGTACTTGGCATCAAAAGGAACGAAGTATTGATGCTGCAGCATTGGTGGAACCCGAGAGCATGCTAAGTGGAAGAGGGCAGTCATGAAAGACTGTGTATGATCCCACTACATAGAATTTATAGGAACAGAACAGGCAATCTATAGAAACAGACTGTGGGATGTTGGCAGAAGATAGGAAAATTTAGGAGAATTAACAGAAATGTTTTTGAATTAATTTGAATGTTCACACAGGTCTGAATCTTTTAAAAAGAATGAATCTATTCAAATGGATGAATTGTCTCAATTAATTGGTTACTGAGAAATTCAGATGGCTTTCAGACAGTAGTAGCTTCTCATCTTGCCAGTATGATATGAACTAGAGGTGGAAGAACCTTTTTGTGTCTATTGGTTTACTAGTTGGCAGTGCTGATCTTTTGGTTACATCTACAGACAAGTAATTATTGTTTTCTGTTAGTTTCTAGTGCCAAACTAAAAAGAAAAAAAAACTGGTTTGGAACGGCAATATATACTGAAGTCATCGTAGATGGAGAAAGTAAGAAAACAGCAAAATCCAGTAGTTCTTCCAATCCCAAATGGGATGAACAGATGATTGTGTGAGTATCTTATGTAAAGGCCATAAAATCTTCACATTGCATGTCCTATGTTTTATATTTTTAGAATGACTTCAAGTAATAAGGCTTTTTCTTTATCTAAGAAAGAATTTAAGATATGAAGAAATTTTTTAATTTCACTTTTCTCAAAGAGGAAGCACAATAATTGTGTTTTTGTTTTATAGACAGTTATTTCCACATGACCCTATTTACTCTGAATGTTTGATATAGAAATAAAGCCAGTCATTCTTAATTTTGATATTTTGAAGTAAAATGGTATAAAGTTACATGTAATAGAAAGATTATAACTAATGCCAGTCATTCTAAACAACTTTAGAGAGATTTTTCCTGAGGTCTCAGTAAGTCAGTGCTTTGCTGCTCAGTGGGTGGCTAACTACAAAAATCCCGAAGTAGTTTTTAAAGTCATAATGTGTTTGTAAATATTTGTTATTTATATTTCTGTTTCAATTAGTTTACTTTTACATACAATATTAAACTGAATTCATCATTTAAGAAAAATCACTGCAATAGGTAACTTTAAAAGAATTAGCACACAACAGTGATGCCATGTTTATTTTTGTTATAATGTTATTCATGCAGAAATGTGACCCCACAGACCACCTTGGAGTTTCGAATTTGGAGTCACCACACTTTAAAAGCAGATGCTCTGTTAGGAAGAGCAACAGTGGACTTGAAACAAGTGCTGTTAACACACAACAGGAAATGTAAGTGGCTTTCTAACCTTTGTTTATTTATGTATTATTTCAAAGACTTTAAATGTATCCTTCTAAAGTCCAGAAATGAAGTGTTGTGTTGTGTTTATAAAGAACTTATAATTGCCAATGGTTGCTTTCAGAACTGTGTTGTAATTGAACAGTGGGCAGTATTTTCCCATCCTTTCCCCACACTGAAGATCATCTACCAGTTCTTTGATACCAGTTACTCCCACTCATTTATTGTTACCAGAACAGCATCTCTGATCTGGATAGAGACCTAACTATCAATTGGGCAGGTCAATTCATTGGCCAAAGCCTCCCGACACCCCCAGGTTGGGAGAATTGTCTCTAGGAAGATCACGAGAGGACCAGGAATTTTCCCTTAATTATTAGTACTCTCACATTCCCACTCTGAAGAAGTAACTGTAAAACAATCTGAGAACCAGATCAAAGTTCCTTAATACTTTTGGCATTTCTGAACTCTGTCGAAGATGAGACAATAGAGAGACAATGTCTCAAAAAACAGCCACATAAAAAAAAATCATAATGTACCCATATTGGATAATGAAGTGATCACTAATGAGTTTTAAAGAAAATTGTTTTTCTAAACTATTAACTGATAAATTATATTTATGGAGTCAAAAGTCATTTTATGGGTTACATGCAAAATTGCAGCAGTCAAGTTCTGGAATACAGCAGTTTTTGGATTGAGGTATCTTTTAAACATGTTTATGTATGTAGCACTTGTTTTTAAATTGGAATTTTCTTTTTTCTAGTAGAAAAAGTGAAAGAAATATTAAAACTTTCTTTGGAAAACAAGAATGGCATAGTTCAAACTGGTGAATTAACAGTTGTGCTTGATGGATTAGTGATTGAGCAAGAAAATCTAACAAACCACAACTCCCCTCCAACCAGTAAGCTGTGCTTATGTTTTTTTAAATTTAAATAAAGAAAGTTGACAAGAAATATATAAAAACTGAATTGCCCTCCTTCTTGATGTTTAGTAGAAATCCAGCAGAATGGTGATGCTGTGCATGAGAATGCAGACCCCTCGACAAGGACATCTGCCGGGTAGAGTGCTTTATATATTGATATAAGATTTCTCAAGCATGAAGTTTGTGTTTTTAATTTATTTTCTGTTAGCTCCAAATTCATGACCTTCCTGCTTCAGTTCCTTGATTGTTAGGATTATATTATGGGTGGAGGTGGGGGTGTTCAAAATCTTATGTAGCCCAGGTAGATGTAGTTGAGGATAACCTCTTAACTTCTGATCCCCCTGCTTCTGCTAGTCAGGTGCTGGGGTTAAAGGTATGTATTATACCAAGATTCCTCTGTTTAACTGTCCTGGCAGTCCTAGAATTCACTCTATACATCAGGCTAGCCTTAAATTGAGAGATCTACCTGCTTTTGCCTCCGAGGTGCTGGGATTAAAGGTGCGCATTACCACTGCCTTGCAGAAGTTTTGATCCTTAGCCTCATTTTAGTATTTGTCATAAAATTTAAAAGCCTAGCCACGGCTATATTAAAATACCCTATTTTAAAAATACTAAAAATATGTTAATAAATAAAAATTTAAAAGCTTAAATATAAAGATGTTATTTGCCAAGTACCTGGGAAAGAAGCTTTAAAATAACAATTTATTAAGATCTAACACATAAGAAAATCATTGTTCTGGCCTTTTTCTATGAACAAATGCTTCTTTTACAAAGCATAGTGCTTCAACTATTCACTTATGCTATGGAATGTGGTAGTGCTTCCTTTCTTATTGAAAGTGTTGTTAAACAATCGATATTTATGACTTGTTGGTTAATAGAGCGAGTAGTGTGGGAGGGAGACCTTATTGATTGGACATTCTCCTGTAGTTCACAAGATAAATGTCCTACGGATAATTCATCCTACCATTTCAAAACCTCCCTGCCATTTACATTTTGTGATTGCTAAATGATGATTTGAAATATATAAATGAAATGAGAGTATATAATAACTCAAATATGGTGGAGTTAGAAGTCTCAAAATATAAAATGTATTCTTACATAATTGACTTGGTACATCTGGAAAACTTTGCCAGTAAAGGGCAAAGTATAACCTTTTTGACTCTGCACAGTTACTGATAACATTATTCTTTTATATCTATATCTATATCTATATATATATATATATTAAAGATTTATTTATTTATTATGTATACAACATTCCTTCCATGTATGCTTGCATGCCAGAAGAGGGCACCAGATCTCATTGTAGATGGCTGTGAGCCACCATATGGTTGCTCTGAATTGAACTCAGGACCTTTGGAAGAACAGTCAGTGCTCTTAACCTCTGAGCCATCTCTCCAGCCCAATAACATTATTCTTAATTGCTGTTGGATGCTTCTTATCAAAGCACTTAAACAAGTTATATATGTGGCACACGCCTGCAGCTTGAGATAGTTGCAAGGTTGAAACAAGAGGACAGCTAGTTTGAGGCAGCCTGGGTAGCTCAGTGGGATCCTGTCTCAAAACAAAAGCTGTGAAAAAGGGTCAGGAATATAATTTCTTAGCAGAACAATTGCTTACCATTTGCAGAGACTTGGGTTTGGTTCTCAGTACTGCCTTTTATTTTGGTTACGAGTCTAGCCTTAAACAGTTGAGCCATCTCTCCAGCTCAACCAGTATTCTTTAAAATAGCTTTGAAACTATGCTTTCCAATTCTGTATTTGCTTTACATAGTCTGCGGATTATAATTTGCACTGAGAAAAATTAATGACTGAAATAATCTAACAGTTTGTAAATCAAAATGCATTAATATGTGACATATGTTTAAATTCTTTAAGTTACACTTTTCAGTTTTAAAGGGGTTTAAATTATTACCACCTAAAACCTAATCCTGCTTTATACAAAGTTAATCATGCCTTTAATGCTAGCACTTGAGAGGCAGAGGCAAGAGAATTGCTGCAAGTTCAGGCAGGGATTACATGATGTGGGATTCCCCTCTCTTTGCTATGAATACCATTGGTTAATAAAGGAAACTGTCTTGGGCTGCAGGGAATAGAAGTAGGTGGGGAAAACTAAACTGAATGCTGGGAGAAAGAAGGAGGAGTTTAGGAGAAGCCATGTAGCCCTGCCTGACCCAGACGGAAATTTACCGCTAGCCTGGTCCTTCTAGGAAGACCTGTCTTAAGACAAAACCACCAAAACTTATTGTTTTATTTTATGGTAGCACATCTTGTTTTTAAAATGAGTCCAGTGGTGCCAGGGGAACTTCCAAGGACTCTCACTTAGACTTCTAGATCACTGATTCTGGATGGCTAAGGAGTGATACAGACTTGAGAATTTTCTGGAAGTTTTGTTCAGACCTTAGTTGTCTTCATTGCTAAATGTAATTCCAAGGTTAGAATTAGTTTTTGGATATTTCTTATAATTTCATGAGCCTTTGAAACTACTTTTAGAGCATTTAAAACAGCCCAATAGTCTTATTTAAAATGTACAATTTGAACAGTTCTTGGAGGCCTAGATAAACTCAACATATTTGGTGTGTCTGCCAGTGTTGATTCCTACAACTGAAAGTAGAGTAGGTCAGTGTGGTAACAGCAGGCAATGTTAGAAAGTCAGTCCTTTTATTTTTATTTAAACTCTGCTGACAGATTGTTTTATTTCACTTAACTCGTTGAAGTTAGAATTTTGTTTTCTTCTTGAAGGTTGGCTGTTGAAGGTACTATTGGAATAGATAATCATGTACCAACAAATACTGTTGTTTCCAACTCATGCTGTTCACATGTAGTTAATGGAGAAAACACACCTTCATCCCCGTCTCAGGTTGCTGCCAGACCCAAAAATACTCCAGCTCCAAAACCACTCACGTCTGAGCCCACCAGTGATACAGGTAACCTTGGTGGTTTGGCACATCATTTGAATGATAATTAAAGAAATTTATGAATTTAATGCCTCCATTTCCTTTATCATGTTATCATAGTTATCATCCTTCATCTTCTGCAATATAGCGTATAAAGTTATGATACCTGAAGATATTTTTTGAAATTTTTAAATTTTCTGGATTATTTAAGAAGGTATTCCTGAAACAGTTGAGAAATCACAACATTTTATTAAGCAAGTACTAATATGATGTAAGATTCTTACACTTTAGGCTAGGCCAGAAAATACTACTTAATTAGTGACATAAAATAAATTTTTGAAAGAACTTAAGTGACTTCCTTGATTTTTTTTTTTAAACAAAAGTTAATGATGAATGGTTTCTTTAAACTGAATTTAGCATTTGAATTCCCCCTGTAGTAGCTAACTTATTAGAAGTGTATGCTGTGATTTGACATAGCTATCAGAAAGTTTTATATTTCCCTAAGGGAAGAATTACACTGCTGTAGAAGAAATGCCCCAGAAAGACTTTATAATGGCTTTGGATTTATCTGAAAATATACCACAATATGAACAGCCTGAAGTGCTCCATACTTCCAAGAAGACAAATACAACAGTGAACTTAGTTGTTTCTCTTTCAGAAAGAAAAAATGACATAGCATGATAGTATAGGCCAAGTAAAACCCATCTTAGGAAAGGACGGGGCCTTATGAGCTCCTACTTCGAAAAAATTATTTACAGTGATGGCTTCTGGAGAGTTAGTTTCCTTTAAGGGCGTGGCCCCACACCCATGAGTATATGAGAAGCACAAATTGGACTTTAAAAAGAAAAGAGGGCATAAAGTTGGAGGGAGTGGAGGAGGGTATTAGATCTGTGAAGAGTAGGGGGCAAATATGATCAATATATATTTCATGAAATTCTTGAGAAACTAATACTATATTTTTAAAAACTTATAACACATTCTGAACACATCAGCTTCCCCTTGGTCCAATTTAAAAATTGGAATGTGCAGTCTTCAATATATGGTCTGAAAAAATAAATACAGAAAGAGCAATAGTAATTTTTTTATCAAGACAGAAGAAAGGTTTATCTGCTCACCGTACTTCTTTACATGAGTTTAATTCTTTTTAGATTAAAAGGCCTTTAGTTTACCAGATAGTAATCCATAGGAAAGAACAGGAAAAAACAAAATAAAGTAAAAATCTTTTAAAAATTTATATTTTAATAGTTATTTCCTATGAACTCTTCCAATAGGTTATAAAGGTAAAAAAACAAAACAAGTTAAAACCCACATATTACCAATCTGAATGAGTTTATTTTATGTGACTGTTGTTGGATTCAGGAGTTGAAGGAGTTGCATTATCTCTTGCAGTAATTAGATGTCATGACCAATATTTAAGTCAATTCCTTATTCATAAAAAGACTCAGATGTTAAAAAAATGTGGAATGGTCACTTCAGAAAGGCCATTTAAATGTATGGAATTTGAAGAATTTGCTCTTATTTTAGAAACATTTAACTGTGTAAGTAGATTAGTGTAAGTGTTTACTATCCTTAGTTATTACATATTTCAACATTGGGCTTATCAGATGTTGATGAAATGAGAAAGAATTAACCTTTGTACAACTAGTATTGTAAAATCTCTTTGCATAGTTTATAGTTTGTTGAATATTTTATATATTCTATTGGGAATAAGCTCATTATTCACATTCTTCTACCTTCTTTACCTGAAATTTCAGGGTGAAAATAAAACACACACAAAGAACTATCAATGAAAATTCCATCATATATAATACCCTTTGTGAAATTATAAAGAAAGCTAGGGCAGTCTTAACAGTTGCCATCTGCTGTACATTCGCTAAACACCTAATTCTATTTACCGGCCACTCTCAAAGTCATTGGATACATAATAGTATTTTCTGTTTGCTCTGAAGAAATTGAAGTGCAGAGGGGTCATAGGCTTTAATATCCAGCTTTGTGGCTTTCAGCTTTATAGTTGTAGCACAAATAATAAAAAAAAACAGAGAGAGATATTGGGGTTGAACTTGAAGATCAGAAAAGCAAAGCGGCCAACCACTAGAGAGAGTCTCTTCCCCTTATTCCTCTCTCAGCCAAGCCATATCGCTTCTGTCTCCGCTTCCCTAGTGGTGTGATTAAAGGTGTGTGCCACCATTCTTTGACCTGAATGGCTGACTAGTATGACTGTTTTGCCCTCTGATCTTCAGGAAAGCTGTATTTATTAAAGCACAAATAATATACCACTATTATATATATATATATATATATATATATATATATATATATATTATATATACTACCTCCTGTTCATATTTAGTTATATAGAGCTTCTCAAAAGGCTAATGCTTATCTTATATATTGAGATAGGCTTCCCAGAATATTTTCCCAACCTTTTCACCTGCTGAGATTTTCTTAAAAATAGTGTAACTGTCCTCATATCTTTTAGTTTAAAGGGCTTCTAAACCTTTTGTGCTGGTCGCAACCACTTAGCTGACGTCTTTGTCTGATAGCTCATTTCTTACTCATAGAATTAATTCAGATAGCTTTTCAAGAAATGGGCATTCCTTGTTTCTTTAAGATGTAGGTACCAAGTAGTATTCCCCAACCCCTTTTGAGGAGATGGGTGCTGGGTATGGCCACAGGTACTTATAAATAGGAGGCAAGTACTTTAGCATCGATCTTCATTCCTAATATTCCTTTTTTTCATTCAGGACTCTGAGCCAGATTTTGTTATTGAATTTGTGATACTGAGTGTGGAACCCCATATGCTCTCTCATTCACCATCAGAGCTTTGCTAGATGCAGCTAATGCTATTGTATACGATTGAAGATCTTGAACTGTGAACTCAGCAAACCTCTTTTCTCCAAGAAGTTATATTCTAATATACATGTAATTCAAAGTTTCTGAAATCTCTTGGTAGTGGTGGTCATACCTTTAATCCCAACACTCCAGGGGCAGTGGCAGGTGGATGGATCTCTGAGTTTCAGGACAGCCAGAGCTGCCCAGTAAAATCCTGTCTTGGAAAACCAGAAAAAAGAATTGTGTGTGTTTGTTTTGTAAATTTATTTGGACTGGCACTAGGCTATCTATTTCCTCCATGATTGGTTTCTAACCTGCTCAGGTATTGGTGTGATTTATAATGCATATGCCATATTACTGTTCCAAATTCTAAAATATGAATTCTGGAATACATCTGTCTCCAAGGGTTTCAGATAATGGATGTTGGCCAATCTTAAGGAGTTCAGAGAAACGATAACTTCCCACCAGAGGTAGTATTATACATGAAGTATTTATTAAGAAGATTCCTTTGAGATGTTTAGTTGCCATAAATATTTATTCTAGATTACAATGAGAAGGTGAGATAATGAGTAAACCCGAAAAGAAAAGCTTAACCTGCTAAAAAGTGACAAAAATATCCTCAAAGTTAGCATCTCTATGTATAAAGGTGACTGATATTCTTAATTTAGTGCCTTATAACTTAGTTGAAAGGTTAAATAATATATTAAAACAAAGATGTCTGCCATAGTTCTTGGAAAGTGGTATTTAAGAAAAATGCTATATTCTTTTCCACTTTAATTCTCTCTAATTTCTAGTATGAGATTATTTTTTCTAATGTATAATTATTACTGTAATACATGTATAATATATAAGTGTGATTTAGTATCAGACAAACCTATTCTATAGGTATGTTACATTTTTTCAGTTTTTATTAAGTATTATAAATACTGAGAAAACTGCATAGAAATGTATGGGCAGATCCTGTGTACTGGCCTCTACTGATATCAAGTCTGCTTGTGACTATAGTAAGTTACCATTCAGGAAACTGGTGCTAATCAAGCTCAGAGTTTGTCACTGTGAGGAGTTCTGCCTACATGAGTTGCTTAATTGCTTCACAGTGTGTTTCATCTAACTACCATTGTTATTAGGTACAGTTTGGTCTGTTCCTGCAGGGCAACCTCACAGGCTTTTCCTTTGTAGATGTAGCCACTCTAAAATGATTTACCTGTAAGGAAATTGCATAAGGAAACAGCCAGTTTTCATGCCATTGTTTGAAAAGTAGTAACATGATCCTATGATCTAGTTATGTTAAGATAACAAAATATTCCAAGACTGTGTAACTTACAGATAAAGCAATATTTTAATTGTTGGACTCAGAAGGCAGAGGCAGGCTGCCCCTGTAAGTTTAAGGCCAGCCTTATCTGTATAGTAAACTCCAGATCAGTCAGGACTACATAATCAGGGGGACAGATAGTTCACTGATTTCCAGTCTGAAAGTTCACAATCATTCATTTCCTTTGGAACTCTGGTGAGGACCTTATCTTAGATGTCCATGTGGCTGGAATAATTATTAAAGAGAAAGATGACCTGATAGGACAGGAAGTCAGAGAATGACTAGGAGTAAGACTTAATGTTTCATACGTAGCAGCTTACTCTCTTAAGAACTGACTTGATGTTGTGTGATAACTACCTCAATCCTTCCAAGGGCAGCGGCTTCAATGACCTAATTACTTCTCTCTCACTCAAAAATGTTATATATACACATTTTAACCATAAGAAAGTCAAACAGGTGGAATTCAAATACTCTAGTATTTTTATCTTTTTCTACTTTACATGAAAGAATTGTAACCCCCAAATCTTAGTGACTAAAAGAGATTAAGACTGTTAAGCCAAACTGGGGGCAGGTATCACATGCCTGGAGACCTAGCTACTTGGATGAGGACAAGGTAGGATGATTTCTTGAGTCCAGAACTTCAAGGTCTGAACAACTTAGCTAAACAGTAATGGAGATCTCATATATTTGCCTCTCCTATTATATTTAAGAGTTTCCCAGTGACATCTTGCATTTGTTACAACCAGCAAATCATTATGAATAAATTGTTGTTGACAAAATGCATACTTTTTCTTTGCAAAATCAAACTGTAATTTAATAAAAAAAGAAGAGGGATCATGAGTTATAAGCATGTATAGTCAGAATGTCTGGAACAATATTATTTTGCAAGAAGTATCACATAAAAACAGTGGATGGAAATTATAAGTTAATTAAATTTCATTTCTTGAGGTACACTAGTTAGGCGGGTTTTGGAACACATAGTGCCATTCCAGTACTGTATGGAAATGTTTGACTGCTCCAAAATCCCCTGCACTTTCCTCACTCTTCCCCAGTCTCCGAGAATCGCTGATCTTTGTGTTGTCTCCATAATTTGTCATTTCCAGAAGATTTTCTGACTAGAATTGTGGAGTATGTAACCATCTCATACTGACTCTTTTCGCTTAGGAATGTGCACACCTCTCAGGTTCTTCTGTGTCTGTGAATTTTATTTTATTTTTTTTTATTGTGGTATCACAAATGGTGATTTGTTTATTTAACCAAATCACCTGTTGAAGCGGCCTGATCTCTTGAGTTATGAGCAATTAGGAATGCAGATTCTATCCAGGTTTGTGTCCAGGATTTTAGTGTGGCCATAAACTTTGAACTCATTTTGCTTAACAAATGAGATCAGTAGAATGTATGATAGTTTGATGGAAACTGTCCAGTCTTTTCCAAGGTGACCGTGCTGTGTGTTTCCACCAACAAGGCATGAAAATTCCTGTTGTTCTTCATCCTAACCAGCCTTCCTATTTAAGCAGAGACATTTTTCCACCTTCTCACCCAAAGATTGTTTATCTATTCTTAGTCATTTTATTTTTATAAATGTCTTTTATTATACACCATGATGGCACATGCCTGTAATCCCCAGTGCTTTGGAGGAGTAGTTTCCAGGCCTGCCTGGAGTAAAAATAAACAAACCAACCACAAAAACAACAAACACCAGCTCAGTATTTTTTTTTTCTAGCAGACTTTGAATATGGTCCTAAAGCTGAACTTGGGCTCTTCATTCTTCCAATATATTCTTTTAATTTATTAGTTCTAATTTCTGGTTATTTATTGTGTATGTTCTAATATTCTCCTTTATATATAAGTTTTACCCTTTTCAGTGTTTTTGATTTTTTTCAGCCTTAATACATTGTCAAATATAATCAGCAATATTGAATTGAAATAGTGATTATGATAATCTTTACTTTGTTCATTACTATTTTATTGAATACTCTTTAGCTAGTATTGAAAGTAATATTTCTTTTATCCTTTGCTCAGTTACCATGATACATTTCCTAACATAGTGTGCTAATATTGAATTATTTTTGATTATGTATCATGTTGGCCTGTGGTTTTGGGGACAATGTTTTATATGGGTTGAAAAGTTTTTTTTTCTAATAGAATATAACATTTTGAATACTGCAAAAATTATCTAAAGCTTAAAGAATTTTTTCAAACCCTGCTCATCCCCTGTGTATGAGGGAAATGTTTCTCCCATCACCTTTCCGCTTCAACTCTGATTGAACATTTTAAGTTTCATTCATTTGCCTAATACATTTCACACTCATTTCTATAAAGTTCTGTGTATTTCTGATTTTACTTAATAATTTTGTTTTTCTTTAACAACATTGCCATTTTTAAACTTTCCTGATTATAAAGTCAATGGATAATATTTTTAAAATATAAATTTCTAGACAGCTCTCTATAAATTTCTCCCAAACATATGGATGCCCCTACTAGAAAGCGAAAGCTGAGTGCCATTCACTGAAGCCTTCCTTTGTGTTGCTCACAACAGGGTAGCAGATGCTGCAGTGTAGACCAGAGCCCCTGATCTTGGTCTCAGCTGCTCTACTAGCCAGTAGGTGCAAGTGCCAGGTGCAGAACTGTCAATCATGTATTTTAATAAAACACTGATTGGCCAGGCAGGCAGTATAGACGGGAAAGCCAGACAGGAAGTAGGGGTGGAGCAAAGAGACTGGGAGTATTCTGGGACACAGGAAGCTCCCTCCGTCATTCCTGCCCGCTGATTGGCCAGGCAGGAAGTATAGGCAGGTCAACTAGATAGGAAGTAGAGGCGGGGCACTGAGAATAGAATAAGGCTACGGAGGAGGAAGGTTCCTCTGCCACTCCTGCGCAGACCACCGAAGAGGCAGCATGTAACTTGTCCAGCTGAGAAAGGTATGGAGTCATTATGGCTAACATAGATGAGAATAATGGGTTAATATAAGCTATAAGAGTTAATAAGAAGCCTGACTTAATGGGCCAATCAGTTTATAATCTTATGGAGTCTTGTGCATGATTTTTCTTTGTGGCTTGCCGGCTGTGGGATACTGGGCAGGACAGATACCCCAACAAGCCGGCCCTCATGTTACACAGAACCACTGAGCAGAGATTCACAGTGGAGAAATCCTGGGATTCGGCTGATGCCAGACACCGCAGTGCATTCGGAGTTCCAGGACCATTCCTGAATCCACTTGGAAGAGAGCACAACTGTTTGGGGGTGGTATGTAGAGGTCCCATGCAGTATACCACCCATGAGTCTGACAGTTCTGTAAACCACGTTCATGTCCTAGTTCCCCAGCATAATCTTGGACCAATTTCCCACTACATGAATGAAGTCCGTGATTGTTTCAGGGATACTCCAGGGGAACTAGAATGTCTCAAGGTAGACATTCACTGAAGCAGTACTGCGATGTTGCCTTAAAGTTTCTAGGAAACAGGAAAATGCAGAGACTTGTTTGATCACATACTACCTTGTCAATCTAAATCTCCCTTCTGTAGCATGACAGATATGTGCTAGGAAGTGCAGAGAACTCTTCTGCATCCACATTCCTTGCAGATCTCATGACTGTGTTCAGACTGCCATCTGGCACACTTTCCTTATTCTGTGTTCCAGTTTACATGTGTCTTTACATGTGTCTGTCTGTCCTTCGTCATACTTCAGTGTTTTCAGTGTTTTGATTCGCCGCAGAGGAAGGAAAGCAGTTGCTTATTGACTCTAATCCACCATCTTGAATTTTCTTACTTGCGAGTTTGACTCAATTTTATGTGTACATATAGTCTAAATGGATGTTATACTTGAAATAAAATTAAAAAAAATAAGATGTCAGTAAGTTTCAGCAGTGGGTTGTTTCTTAAGTAAGTGTAGAATGGAAGCTGGGCTTGATGGTTTCCCTGCTCAGGTAGCTGAGGGAGGAGGATTTGAAGTTCAAGACCTACCTGGGAAACTCATTGAGACATCTCAAAAAGTTAAAAAAAAAAAGTTTAGAATAAACTGTTGGATATTTTTGTAGCACTATCTTAAGAATTAATACATTCATGTGTTTCTAGCTGGACAAACAAGTTTTTGTTTAGCTTTGTTTTCAGACTAGTGCCACTTACATATAAGATAGGAGATTTATAGTTTATAATTTGGAGGGAAAAAAACTTATTTTCTTAATGTTGGTGTGTTGTTTGAAGTTAAAGTTATTAGTTTATACACTTAAAATTTTATCACTTTCCAATTTACTCTTAAAATCCCTAAAGTTTTTTTTTAATTTACTTACTTTATTCTTAAAAATTGATTTCAAAACATCTCTTATTTTTTTATGTTCTTCAGTATCTGGTACATGGCTCAGTTTGCATAGGCAATGAGGAATTGTAGTAAATTGGCCGGGTAATTTGATCATAGGTCATTTTGTTATTTTCCCCTTGTAGTTAATGGAGAATCATCTTCATCTGTCTTAGCTGATAATACTTCCACCATGGGTACTCCACTACCATCTGAAGAAACCACCTCGACTTCCCATTGCACTAGCACCACCATTCAGGAGCCTCCTGTCCAAGGACCCCCGGCATCCTCAGAACACAGTGAATGTATTCCCTCTACCAGTGCCGAAGTGGGACCAGAAGCTCAGAGCCTCATAGACCCTGATTCTGATTCCAGAAATGATTCTGTTTTTGACAAATTAAGGCAGCCAGAAGGGTTTGCGGAACCTCTGAGGCCACGGTCTAGAAATGCAAATAATGAATCTTTGCCATCAGGGTATGTCAAGAAAAGGTTTTTAATGTTTTCTTTCATTTAAGTAAAAAATTCTTGATGAAGTATGACTATTGACTGAATATGTATATGAAATGTTCCTTTTGTTAAAAAAAAATAATTCTTAGTGGCTGGAGAGATGGCTCAGCAGTTAAAAGTACATACTGTTCTTGCAGAGAGCTCAAATTCAGTTTCCAATATACATGTCACGATGTTCACAATTCAGCTCTAAGATACTATGCCTGTAACCTCTGTGGTCCCTGCACTCACATGCATACATACCCCACACCCACATACTGACACATACACATACCCATTATTAAAAATAATAAAGATAAATTGTTTCAAAAATTAAATATATTTGGAACATTCATGCTATATATTTGCTCCAGTGAAACTTATCTTTTGGAGTTAAGAACAATCACTTATCAAAATACATGTGGTAAGAAATGAGCATACAAATCTGATGTGAATCTGCAAGACCTTTTGATTTTATTTTCACTTTGTATAGTAGTGACCATGATACTTGTCATAACACCAGTTCTCTAGCTGTCTGTGTGATCTAGTATCCTTGATAACAACTAGTCATCCATTTCCATTACTACTGAATACTGATGATTGTCTCCAAAGGGCTCTATTACAAGCCTGGATTTTTCTAATCTTAGTTTTTCCTAATGCCCTTAAGTTTCCTAATCTCCTTTAAGTGTGATTATTTAATTTCCAATGATTTTATTTTTGTTTATTTTATATTTTAGAACAATCTCTTTTATTTTACATACCAACCCCAGTTCCCCCTCTGTTACCTCCTCTTGCTCCCTTTATCTTCTCCCCACCTCCCTTCCCATCCCTTCCTCAGAGAGGATGAGGCTCCCATGGGGAGCCAACAGAGTCTGTCACATCACTTGAGGCAGGACTAAGACCTTGTTTCTAGCCTGAGCAAGGTATCCCTCCATAGGGAATGAACTCCAAAAAACCAGTTCATGCACTCGGGATAAAAATATTGGTTTCATGGCCAGTGGCCTCACAAACTGCCCAAGTCACTGTCACCCACAGTGAGAGGGCATAGTTTGGTTTTATGCAGCTTCTCAAGCTTTCAGTCCAGAATCAGGGAGCTCCCATTATCTTGGGTCAGCTGTCTCTGTGGGTATTGCCATCATGGTCTTGACCTCTTTGCTCATGTTTGCTCATGCTCCTCCCTCACATCAACTGGACTTCGGGAGCTCAGCCCAGTGGTTAGCTATGGATCTCTGCAACTGCTTCCATCAGTTTCTGGGTGAAGGTTCTATGGTGACAAAGTAGTCATCAATCTGCTTACAGGTGAAGGGCAGTTAAGCACCATCTCCATTATTGCGTAGATTCTTAGCTGCGGCCATCCTTGTGGATTCCAGGGAATTTCCCCAGTGCCAGGTTTCTTACTAACCACATAATGGCTCCCTCAATCAATATATCTCTTTCCTTGCTCTCCCTCTCTGTCCTTAACTCAACTCAACTCAACCTTTCCAATCCCTCATGTTCTCTTCTCCTCTTCCCTTCTCCCCTCCTCACTCTCCTTCCACCCTCTCCCCCACACTCCCAATTTACTCCAGAGATCTTGTTCTCCTTCCCAGGGGGATCCCATTTGTCTCTCTCTTAGGGTTCTCCTTGTTTCCTGAGTTCTCTGGGGTTGAGGACTGTAGGCTGGTTATCCTTTGCTTTATTTCTAATATCCACTTATGTGTGAGTACATACTGTGTTTGTTTTTCTTGGTCTGGATCATCTTACTTAGGATTTTTTTTTCTAGTTCCATTTTTGGCCTGCAAATTTCAAGATGTCACAGTTTTTTTTTACTGTTGAGTAGTACTCCATTGTGTAAATGTACCACATTTTTGTTAATGCATTCTTTGGTTGAGGGGCATCTAGGCTGTTTATGAACATAGTTGAGCACATATCCTTGTGGTATGAGCATGTATCCTTTGGGTATATGCCCAAGAGTGGTATTTCTGGATCTTGAGGTAGATTGTTTCTCATATTTTCGAGAAACTGCCATTTCCGAAGTGGATGTACAAGTTTGCACTCCCACCAGCGCTGGAGGAGTATTCCTCTTAGTCCACATCCTCCCCAGCATAAGCTGTTATTAATGGTTTTTATCTTAGTCATTCTGATAGGTATAAGATGGTATCTCAGAGTTGTTTTGATTTGTATTTTCCTGATGCAACAGCTATGACATGTACAGAGGACAACATTTCACAGTACTCCTCCCCATTCTCTGGGTTTGTGTTCTGTCTCTGCCCTCTTCCATAATGTTCCCTGAGCCTTAACAGGGAAATTGGGGGGCTGATAGAGATGTCCTTCTATAGCTGAGAAGCCACAGTCACTTATTAGCACTTTAACAGTTATAAGGCTTTGTGTAACCACTACCCTCTGTATTAAGAAGCTTCTCTGACCAAAGTTTAGAACAGCACAAGTTTGTGGTATGTAAACATAAATATTTAGTAGGCAGTTAGACAACATGATGCTCTCTGCTAGGACCTCTGATGTCCTACCAATGGGTTTTGACCAGCTTTACAATACCAGGCATGAGTTCTCTTCAATAGAATGAGCCTGAAATCCAGCCCAGAGCATAGCTAATTCCTCTATAAGTGGTCTAACCACTGTCTTTCCAGTAGGCACATTTTGCCTGGCACGTGGTGTTACCATGAAGGTCCAGTGCTGGGTAAGACATGTTTGTTCTCAGTAAGCAGTTTGCATGTCACTATCCAGCATTATGGAAGCTAACCATTAGGCCAATGTTTTTGTTTTTAAAACTTTTTTGTTTTGTTTTTTTCCCCTCCTGTATATCATATTGAGAAAAATAGGGAAGAAGAAATGGGGAACCAAGAAAAGATAAGTTTGTGATGTTCATTCAAAGGTATCTACTAAGATAAAGAGTGGAGTAATGTGCACAGTAACTCTGTGTGCCCAAAGATGACAGAATTGTCAGGGACAGTACCACCACATGTCTAAAAACCTTTTAGATGTATAAATTTAAAATCAAAGACAAAATGCATATTATTTATTGGCATTTAGTGCCTTGGACTTGCTCTTTGCTGAGATTCTTTTACCCTTGATTATATTTCTTTTCTCCTAGTTTGGAGGAGTGTAAATTGATAAATTCAAAATTTTAAGTATTGTATGCTTTCTTAACTACAGCTATTAATATTCTAGTTCTGTTATGAAGAAGCAATAATTACTACCTTTATATTCAGGTAGTGGTGGTGCATGCCTTCAATCCCAGCACTTGGGAGGCAGAGGCAGGCTGAGAGCTCTGTGAGTCTGAGCAACCCTGTTTTGGAAAACATAAATAAATAAATGAATAAACAAACAAACAAACAAACAGACAAATAAAATGCTTATAGGTTCTCTCTCTCTCTCTCTTTCTCTCTCTCTCTCTCTCTCTTTCTGTGTTTATATGTTATGAATGTGTGGGAGTTGTAAAACATGTTTGTAATGTTCTTGATTCCAGAACATTTTCATATTTCCTAATCTTTCGTTTCTTGCTTCTATTTTTGTACTTTTATTATAGGTGGGAACAGAGAAAAGATCCTCATGGTAGAACCTATTATGTGGATCATAACACTAGAACTACCACATGGGAGAGACCACAGCCTTTGCCTCCAGGGTAATGTTTTATCCTTATCTGTGTTTAGTTATGTTTTTATTGTATGTAAGTTTTAAATTTATTTGGTATGATATTCATAAATACAAATTTAAAAATAGTCTATAATTTTTGGACAGTAGATTTAGTGAAATAGACTTTATGGTTCTCAATGGATGAATTGAATGAATGGCTATAAGATGGTGATCCTATTTATTTAAAATGAGCCTTTGGATGTACTATATTGAAACACCACATCTGTGTTTTCCAGTGATAAGTTCTTACTTAATACCATAGTAACAAGTCCTTCATTTAAAAAAAAACAAAACACAACAATGAAATCTTTGACCATTGAAACTAGGCACTCAGGTGTCAAAGACTGAAGAAAATGTATTCTAAGCATAGGGATAGTGTTTGAGGGGAATTCAATAGTATAATTCAACTATCTGTCCAGTGCAGTGTGCAGAGTTATTATAAAAAGCAAAGGAAGATCAGTTTTGACCTTGAAATAGGGTACTAGCAGAAACTTTATTATATTTTTGATTACTTAAACTATATGTTTTTCATATGATTTAATATACGCTGACATGCAAATGAGCTTATAGATGTTAATTTTGGGACCAGTCTAATATCCCTTACATTATTAAATCTCATGAAATATAATAATGCACGTCATTATGTATGTCAGAGGGTCACACACTTTTTTTCTGACCCACATATATATATGTATTTATGTATGTATATATGTATATATACAGTTAGGGGACGTTTTGAGATTGGGTTTCTCTATATCAAGGGATCCCATTATATTTATAATAGTAAGTTTGGGAGAATTCCAAATTGGATCCTGAAGGGATACTTAGTCATAGTACAAAATTAGTAACAAAAACTGACTTAATAGATCCCACGTTTGGAGAAATACAAGTAAAAAAGAGAACCTTGGAATCTGAGTGGAATTCTAGTTGGTAAGAGATCCAGAACAGGGCCTCTGCTCTTCTGGAGTTACAAGAGTGGCAGGACAGGATGACATACAAGACACACATGGGACCAGCACCTCATTAGTTGAGCTCTCATAGAAAACCTCTGAGGGAATTTGAGAAATAAAACTGAGAAGATGGGTAAGTTCCTTTTGACAACTGCCTGAAAACTGTTTTTCAAGAAGAAACGAGGAGTAAGTCTGTGTGTGATAGAATAGGAATTTAGCAATGATAAGTTCTTCACAGATTCATATCTTCTTTTGAAGAATAAATATAGCTAGATATTATGGCTTATTCCTGTAATGCTAGTACTTGGGAGAGAGAGGCAGGAGAGCTGAAAGTCCACTGGTACCCTGAGTTAAGACCAGTGTGGTCTACTTAACCTCTCCATGTCTCAAAAGACCAAGACTGGGATGTGACTAAACAGGTAGAGAATTTGCCTAACATTGGTTGGGCTTTGTCCCTAGCAATGCCAATGGATAAATAAAGTAAAAATACACATGTTTTAACTTACTAGGCGATTACTTATTGCTTCATTTGTATTGCTTATTTGTGGTAGTTGGGAAAGAAGAGTTGATGATCGTGGAAGAGTTTATTATGTGGATCATAACACCAGAACAACAACCTGGCAGCGGCCTACCATGGAATCTGTTCGAAATTTTGAACAGTGGCAATCTCAGCGGAATCAATTGCAGGGAGCTATGCAACAATTCAACCAACGATACCTCTATTCGGTAATTAGCAAATTACGATGTGTTAATGTTATCTTTTCCGTACATGGTGGCTTTCTAAAATATGTAAACTACATTCCAGTAGTTTGTTTGCTTCATTTTATTTTTGGTTAATCTTTAATATTATTTCTAAAAGGTATAAATGAATAAGCATTCTTGGATTTTTTTCTGGCTTTGGAGTATTTTGGATTTTGGTTTAGGGTACTCATCCTGTGTATAGGAAACAAGGAAGTTTGTACTATGAGGTTTGTTTTGTTTCTGTGTAGGGCTTTGTGTGCATGAAAATTTGGAAACAGGAAAAAAATTAGGTATTGGTTATGTGTCAAAATACTTTCTGTTAAATAGCAGAATCCTCTTAAATGGATGCATTTTAAGTTACCTCAATAGAATACCAGGACTGCGATAAGAAAGACTCATTCTCTGGCTTACAGTGCTGTCATCAAGAGCTGAGTTTTGCCTTTTAGGGCATCATCTATTACTGTGCTTCTTGCCTGAGTTGTCTGTTGTCATGCACTTTACCGACACCCTCTGTTGCACCCACATCTTATCTGTACCAGCTATTATCATGCATCTTTCCTGCACTTCCTGTTGCCAAGCATTTGGTTTTCTTTTTTGAACAAAAAGAGCTGCTGCCCTTGACCTGGTTTCCAGAGTCCCTGTCATGAAAGGGAAGGGTAAACTGAAAAGGGGGAGAGAACTTTCCTGTAGCAGGCTCTTGTACTTAGCAAGCCTATGCATATTTGCTTAGCAGCTTAGCTGAGGATACCCTTGTTGGGGTCTTTTCTGCCTCATTGGCCAGAATTGAGCACAATCCAGATTTAGTGGACTATTCCTTCTGGGCACGTTGTTACTTCAAACAAAACAGAACTAGTGGTTTGATTATCAAGAAAGATAAAGATGGATAGTTAGTACAGTTAGCACTATCTGTGCAGTACTATCAAATATTCATCAAGATGTATATGCATTAATATTGAATAATTATTTTGCAGGGTAATTATAATAATTTTTCTGTTTTTGAAAAAATACCTTATTTAAATGGTATAATTTTCTATATACTGTTCAGTCATCTCTTATCCTTGGAAAGGACTAGGAAATTAACATATTGATATTAGTACATTATTTCTAAATCATTTACTAATAATCAGCTGATGACTGCTCTTTATAATACTTTTGAACTTTGTTTCTTGAAATTACTGTATTCATATTCCTTTATAATATTTTTAAAAATTCTAAGATATGATTGTTAATTGCTTAGTATTTTAGTGTATTTCTGGCTAAAACTGCTATCTTACTTTTGTCCCCAACCTCTTTTTCAACCAGGCTTCAATGTTAGCTGCAGAAAATGATCCATATGGACCTTTACCACCAGGCTGGGGTAAGCAGATAAGATGTTTATAAAAATATGTGTAAGGTATATAGGTATCAAATTGTTATTAAATTTTTTCATATTTTATGTTTTAGAAAAAAGAGTAGATTCAACAGACAGAGTTTACTTTGTGAATCATAATACAAAAACAACCCAATGGGAAGACCCAAGAACTCAAGGGTATGTGTATACTACAGTCTTAAGTTATCACATATGGGTAGATGGATGGATGGAATCAGTGGGCTGTAAGTATCCAAAACATACCCACCTTATGATTGTGATTTTTATCTTACAGCTTACCAAATGAAGAGCCCCTGCCAGAAGGCTGGGAGATCAGGTATACTCGAGAAGGTGTTAGGTACTTTGTGGATCATAACACAAGAACAACAACATTCAAAGATCCTCGCAATGGGAAGTCGTCTGTGTGAGTAGAAACCTGAACTTTATAAACATCACTTAGTGAAAACAGGAAGTTTAGTCTCTAAATAGCCCCAAATTTAGAAACAAACAATTTTTGGTTAAGGAAACATCCACAGGTAATGTCCAGCTATAACTGTTTTTGCTCTGTATTATTCCAGAATGGATTTGTGGTATGCCACTTCTTAATTAAAACACACACTATATAGTTTGCTTTTTCATTCTTATCGATTTCCTTCATTGATATATGTGTTACACAAACAGCTGTTTTCCCCATGTTATTGCTTTCACTGATTAGAAGAATGCCAGGTCCCTGTGAAGTGTTTGGTAAACTTTCTTGGATGAATGAACATCCTTGGATGTAACAGCTGAAGACAGTATTTTATGTTCATTCTATCATGAAATGAAAGTGCCCTGTACATTCTGTTAAGATTCTCTAGGCAGGAGAAGCAGGCCTCCTTAATCTCTTCTGTGCTGAATCATGTATCTGCTTCTTTTCTCATTGTAACTTGCTCTAAGAATTTGATTTTGCTTTGCTTTGTTTTATTCAGATCAGATTTAGGATAAGGTACAGGGTTTTTTACTCATGTTCTCCTTATCTAGACTTCTTAAGTGTTAAGAATTATCAGAATTCTGCTTATTGTTTCTTTCACAAATAAAATAGTAAAAAACAAAGGTATCCATAATAGATTTAGGACCTGTCTCTACTTGTCTCTCTGTGTGCATGTGTTCTGCTAATGTGACAACCTTCATAACGCAAGGCTCCATTGTCCTAACGAGTACACCTGTATTTATTGCAAGTAAATAATTTTCCTTAGTCTTATTATGATCTAGTGCACACTGTTTCATACTTAATGTTACAATTTTATTTGTTATGCTTCTCTTTAGAGCTAAAGGCGGTCCACAGATTGCTTATGAACGCAGCTTTAGGTGGAAACTTGCTCATTTCCGTTACTTGTGCCAGGTACTACAGTGGTAAATAAGTCTCATTTATAATCATTTAGTCTGATCATTACATAATACATATGCTTGGCTTACATGATATGGTATTTTTGTTTTTAGTCTAATGCACTACCTAGTCACGTAAAGATCAATGTGTCCCGTCAGACTTTATTTGAAGATTCCTTCCAACAGGTAAGGTTCATTTTCACTATCAAAATGAAACAGTGCTTCTTGTCTTATTTTATACTGGGCTTCTAAAGGGAGTTAAAAGCTTTTGTGTCTTGAAGCATTTACAGTAAGTCCCACTCCTTGAGTGACTAAATTAGTAATTATATTAAACTTTATTATGTGGGCTAGAGGCATACATGGAAGCAAAACATTCAAATACATAAAATAAAATTAAACTTCACCATATAATAAGTAATGACTGTTTGCCAATTACTGACAATTTTTAATTGCTTTTCTTTCCTCCTCACGCATCTCTGTGAGAGAACTTCTAGTATCATCTCCATTTTATAGATAAGGTGAAACTGAGAGACAGCCAAGAATTTAGGTGTACCTGGGTGTGGTATCATATGCTTTTAAATCTCAGCGTCCTAGAGGTAGAGACAGGTAGATCTCTATGAATTCCTGGTCATGCAACCTTGCCAGGTGATGTAGAGAATTTTTCCTGATCTTTCACTCCAAAGCAGTGACTGTAACTTTTTTGTGTACTCAAATAGGAGTTTCATTAATTTTTTTATTGTTTCTTTTATTTTAAAGACTATAATATAACTACATCATTTCCTCTTCTGTTTCCTCCCTCCATACTCTCTTATATACTACTTCTGGCTCTTTTTACATTTATGGCCTCTTTTTTCATTAATTGTTGTTACATTCATATGCATATGTATTTATATTCCTGATATGTAAATACAACTTGTTTCTTTTGTATAATATTATTGGTATTTATATGTTTTTATGGCTGACCATATAGTATTAGACAGCCAATTGTTGTGCTTTTCCCTAGGGAAGACAATTTCTCCTGCTCTCCACATTCCTGCATTGCCTATAGTTTTTATACAGGACTGAGACCTTGAGAACCTTTCCCTGTCCATATTGGCATGTCCCTTGGTGTCCTTCATGTTCTAACTCATGGTTAGGCACTCATGTTGTGAGAATTTATGGGTGTAGCTTCTAACATTCCAAGGAGAAACAATTTCACACCAAACTCCTTGATCCTTTGACTCTTAAAATCTTTCTGACCTCTTTTATGCAATTTTTGGACCTTAGGTGTGGGAGTTGTTTTGTAAGATGTATCAGTTGGGACTGGGCTCCACAACTTACAATTTAATTGGTTGTTTTCTGTAATGGTCTTTGTAGCAAGGAGAACATTCTTTGATGAAGGGTGAGAACTCCACTTATCTGTGGGTATAAGGGCAAATATTTAGAATATAGTTAGAGACTATGCTGGTTGAGGTAAGAGGTTCTCTTGCAGGACCTTTGACTTCATGAGCGCTGGTAGTTTGCTAGGTTTCCAGTAGCAGGAATGCTATCCCTCTCGCTGAGGCAGTCTTGGTCCAGTTGCAGAACCCTATGGGTTGCCATTGTTGCTCATTATTATTATTTTTTTGTACAGGTTAAAACGGAGTAGTAATACTGAAGTTCTAGAGACATTTATAGTATATCCTCATTTTACTAGTTGTTGTTAAGTGTTGCAAAAAGGAACGGCGGACTGTGTCCCGCTGCCCGGATCCCTACTAGCTTTACCTGAAATAATTACACAGAAGCTATTCATTTAAACACTGCCGGGCCCATTAGTTATAGCCTCTTATTGGCTAACTCTCACATCTTGACTAACCCATATCTAATAATCTGTATGTCACCACGAGGTTGTGACTTACCGTCATGAGTCTAACCAGCGTCCATCATGGGAAGGGCAATCATGGCGTCTGCCTCATTCTGCTTTCTTTCTCCCACAATTCTGTTCTGTCTTCCCCGCCTACCTATGTTCTGACCTATCAGGCCAGGCAGTTTTCTTTATTAATTAACCAATGAAAGTAACACATACACAGATGACCCTCCTCCATCAGTTAAGCTTTAAAAAGATAGCTATAGCTGGGCAGTGCTGGCACACGCCTTTAATCCCAACACTTGGGAGGCAGAGGCAGGCGGATCTCTGTGAGTTTGAGGCCAGCCTGGTCTACAAGAGCTAGTTCCAGGGACAGGCTTCAAAGCTACAGAGAAGCCTTGTCTTGAAAAAACAAAGAAAAGGAAGGAAGGAAGGAAGGAAGGAAGGAAGGAAGGAAGGAAGGAAG